ATTGAAGATAGACATGCTGATCATACAAATGTATATTGACTATATCCTCCTTGGCTTACTGTATGAAGGCGTCCTCCAGAGTTACATTTTTTGGTGCAAAGATTAAAAAAAATGTTATTAGAAAAAAAAGAAATGTGGTTGCCAAATTTTCTTATCGGCCATAGAAAAAATTATTACACAGTATGAATAAGCTTAAATGCAATCAAGCTCACCGCCATAGCTCAGAAAATGATAGTACAGATGAGATGCAGCAAGGTGGGTTGGGCACCAAGCAGAGTAATGAATCAATCTCCATAGGTGAAGAGGAGTGAACGGCTTGGGTACTATTTATTTCCTTCATTTCAAATGCTTCTCTGGCATTTTTCTTTTTCGCTTCATTATGCTTTAGGCCACTTGGCCTGCCATAGTATAGCTCAAAATCAGATAAAAGACCTGCCCAACCGTAGGCTTGCTGGTAGGTAAAGTTAAAATGCATCCCAACCAAGTAGGCAGCCATGCCTAGACTTGGTCTGTCCAGATAAAGCCGGGATGCGTGGAAAGTCATAGTAGGGGAAGAAGCATGCCCAAACGATGAAGATCGTGGCGGAGGAGGACGAACACCATGAATTTTCTGAGTTGCGGCCTGAAATATGGCGGCTGGTATTGTTGCAAATTAGCAACCAAAAACGAAAATAAAAAAAGATTAAGATGAGATAAGATGATAACAATGAATATAAAAGAATAAAACATAACATCTTATGATGTAATAATACAGTATAGCCTTCCTACTTAAGGCTAAATTTTGAGACAAAGAAATTAGGCATAATAGTCTGACTTATTAAAGCTGCATAAAGAAGTTGTTTGACCTTGTTCGGACTTTGTTCGAAGTCCATTGTATGCATAATCATTTCCAAAGTCGGACTGTGGACGTGGTACATTCCCAGACGTTTCGCCGGCATCGTCATTGAGTTTTATCAGTCGTAGTTATAATATCTCCCCTTCTGCCCTGGCCTATTCACATTTCCTATATCCTCCTATCACGCCTTCAATGTCACAATTTTTTACTTGCTTAATTAGATGTGGTACGGTGTGCCCTTTTTTTAGCAGCTTTCATGAGAACCTTCCGCAGTCAACATTGGCCTTCTCACCCCCCCCCCTTTATCCTTGTGCTGGGAATGGGGATCAGAGTCTGCCATATTGTTACGCAGTCCTCCTTCCCTAGGTCTTAGCACAGTCTCTCTCTTATCCCGTAAGATCCGTCTGCCCTCCCCCTGGTTCACATATTTCACTT